TTTTTTTTTTTTTTTTTTTTTTTTTTTCCACTCTTTCGCTTAACTTCCGTATAAATAAAAATTTCCATTTCACTTTAAGCTAACGAAGACGTAAATTTTCTAATTGCTTCAAAAAGTAGGAGCCATACATTTCCACGCTATTAATTTGCACGTTTTGAGAAAAAAAAGAAGGAAGCCCGATATAAATAAATAAATATATATATAGAAAGTTCTTTTTTTATACGAACCAGATAAAAAAAAAAAAAAAAAAAAGTGGCAATCCTTAATCCATTAGAGCGACCCAGCACATGTAGTAAACCAGTCCGATCCCGATCCCGATCCCTGCGCACAGTGTTTGTGTTACTTTCTTCATGATTACGCAGACGAGTTTGGATAAAGTGCACAACGCAGATAGGTATATATTCACGCACGCGTATATATATACACACACACTTGTTCCCTCCCCCTGTCGCTAGTCGATTTCTCACTTATGCATTGATACAAAAGGATGAAGTATAACGCCACCTTGCTTGTCCTACTTAGCGCAATATTGAGCGCTGGGAAAGCTTTGATACGAAATGGGAACAATACGCAGGCCTTAGTTCCTGAAAATGGCGGTGACCCTAGTGGGGGACAGAACAACCCCTCCGGTGAAAACCAAGATACGTGCGAAGTTCAAAAGATGGCTGAAGAAATGATGGGAAAAATGATGAAAGAAAAAGACGTGTTTAGCTCCATTATGGAACCTCTCCAGAGCAAATTATCCGACAATCATCTCTGTTCAACAGTGAAATATACGAACATTTGTCTTCACGAAAAGGATAAAACTCCCTTGACCTTCCCCTGTACAAGTCCGCAGTACGAACAATTAATTCACCACTTTACTTATAAAAAGTTGTGTAACTCTCAAGTGGCCTTTAACAACGTGTTGCTCAAATCCTTCATCAATAAAAACAACGAAGAAAACACATTTAACACGATTATACAGAATTACAAAATTCTGTCCACTTGTATTGATGAAGATTTGAAGGACATTTATGATGCGTCCATACAGTTATTCTCCGACATTAGAGTGTCCGTCACAGAAATCACAGAAAAGCTGTGGTCTAAAAATATGATCGACGTTTTAAAGACAAGAGAGCAAACCATTGCAGGTATTTTATGTGAGTTACGAAATGGAAATAAATCAACCCTAGTATCAAACAGTTTGTCATATGAAAATTTTGGGATCCTCAAGGTTAATTATGAAGGGTTAATGAACCAGGCGTACAAGGCATTTTCAGACTACTATTCATACTTTCCCGATTTTGCCATTAAATTGTTGGAGAAAGGTGGGTTGGTCGAGCGGTTGGTCGCTATCCATGAGAGCTTGACCAACTACAGGACGAAAAATATTCTCCAGAAAATCAATGAGAAGTCAAAAAATGAAGTCCTGAATAACGAGGATATTATGCACAGCTTGAGCAGTTACAAGCACCGTGCCGGGAGTACGCGTGGTTCCTTCCTGCAGTCCAGAGGTGCGCACAATGTTACAAAAGTCGATGTGAAGGTTGACGAGACCTCCACCACGGGGGGCAACCAAAGCGCAAACATGGCCGCTGCGGCGCCTAACAATTCGGGCCCTACCACCGCTGCTGCTGCAAACAGTGCTGCTTCCCCAAACACGGCAGCAACTACCAACACTGCGGCAACTACCAGCGCTTCCAACGATACTAATGCTTCTCCCCACACGAATACTTCCAACGAGGGTGCTTCCACCAGTCCCCTGAGCAACCCCCTGTACGGCACCCGCTACTTGAAGACAAAGGACGTCGTAGTGCTCATCAGAGATCTGCTCAAAAACACAAACATCATCAAGTTCGAGAAGGACGAACCAACTGGCCAAATTGACCATGAAGGAATTAAAAAACTCATAGAAAGTTCCTTCTTCGACCTGAGCGACAACACCATGTTAATGAGGTTGCTCATAAAGCCGCAGGCAGCCATCTTATTCATCATTCAGTCCTTTATCATGATGACACCGTCGCCCACAAGAGACGCCAAAATTTATTGCAAGAAAAATCTAGTTAATGGCCAGCTAGTACAAACCTCTGATTTCAGCGATGCGCACGAGGAAGAAGATCTGATAAACGAATTTTCCAGCAAATACAATTTATTCTACGAAAGGTTGAAGCTGGAGGAGTTGCGCGAAATTGAACAGAACAGGAAAGCGCTCAAGAATGCGAAGGGTAGCCTCTCCGTGCTGCAGGTCAGCAATTCGCAGAATGGTACCCACGGGAACGGGGTCAATCAAGGTGGACACGCTGCAAATGAAAGCGGACATGCGGCAAATGACAACGCACATGCTGCAAATGACA